CCCAATATTGGGGTACACGCGGAGTGAAGCTTTCGAAGGAAATTCAGAACGTCATCAGTCGAATTTTTCAATTTTAGGGTGAGGGTGGCATAAGGTATTTAGAGCAGGGTCAGCCGTCAAGTTCGCCACTTTTTCAAAAATTTTGTGAACACCCCCTCCCCCCCTTTATGGGCGATTCCAACCACCATCAAACTTAGAAGGCTCCCCCAATACGATCCCCACTCCGCACACTTTTCCCTCTGAAACGGCCGTCGAGCGGGGAGGTGGGTGGGGTAAACTAGTATTAGGGAAGTAGCAAATCCACCGAATTTTGCCTAATCCTCACTAGTTACATGAAACTTCCACCAAATTCGTCAAAAACTTCCACGACCTCCGCCAAACTCCGGTCCCACTACTATGATAACCTTGCTCGACCCCAAAATGCGACCCCCTCCCCTTCTCAAAATCACAAATGCGACCTCGCCCGCTGTGCGAACGGACGGTTGAGCATGTTTTAGAGGGCTGTAGAGGTTGTGGAAGTAAAAAGGCTCAGGTTTATAGGGAGGGGTTACTTGATTGAGAGCGTAAAGATTTTTCTACAATCTTACCGAAGAATCGCTCTAATAGAATGCGCACAAGTTCTCGTTCCAGGACCTGAATACCCTCCTCCTCCCCACCCCACGGCAGTTTTTGGGAAACTGGGGCCGTAGTTGAAACATGGCTGATTGGTGGCAGATTTAGCGACACTCTGAACGTGGGATTCGTATTGGGTACCTCGTCCAGGGGGTCGTCCAGTTTTAACTTTTTTTCCAACCTGATGACTGACTCTGGTTCCTCCCTTCAACCCGGTCCCTCTGCAAGCGGAAAAAATACAACCCCATTGCTCAACGTATACTGGACCTTCGCAGAACTGCGGCGCAGTTGGTTGTATTTTTGGAGAGTGACATATGTAAGTACATGAATAATCGAGTACATAGGTGTTGTGAAATTTTACGGAATGCGCCATGCACTCGACTTCTATCAAAGCCACAGATGTGTGGATGGGTTTACCTGACATTTGAATCACTAGATTTGCTTTTTTTCTGAATACCTTCATGTGCATTTATTTCATGCAAACAAATGCAGTAAAAATCAGAAAGCAATAACAAC